TGCGTGGCCCGCCGCCACGGCTGCTTTCATAGAATCTGTTCAAGACTACGGCGTAGTTCCATCCTTCTAAGACATCATGCGAACTCTATCACTCTGCTTTCGCCATGATTGACTGCAAGAAGCGTAGTGCCGTTTGTGGGAGTGAAATCATCGTAGTCGGAGCAGATAAAGGCTCCTTGTTTTTGCAGCCTTCTTAATTATTGTATACTTTTTGGATATTTCGACTTTTTCCGATTCTGATAATTGCCATTCGCTTCCCCGTGCGTTAACTGCCTCTGCTTCCTCTGCTTTGCTCTGCACCGTTGGCCTCATTGTCCGAACCCCGAACCGCGAGAATCGCGAATCGCGAAACGGGATACGGTATAATCCTAGTTGGCTGGATGAAATTTGCAATGGAATTCGAAGCACGCTAGGAAAAGTTAAATGCATGCTTTTTAGCTAATCATTCTACAACCAATAAGCTTGAATTACATAAAAAATATAATTTAAAGTATAATTAAATTATAAATGACAATACAATATATGTGAGAAAGTGATGTATGTGTTTTGCCACCTTATAAAACAAAGCTTAGATCATACTAGAAGTACCTTATGTCAACATTAGATCATATCTATATGTATATAAATATATATGTTTTTAATTAAATTATTATTATTATTTAAACATATTTATGCTCATACATAACTAAACCTATACATAAGGAAACAGAGAGAGAAATATGAAGTAGAGGAAGTCGTGGAAGAGAAAGTAGAAGCTCGATAAAGATTTTACTTTGTTGGGTAATTTTGTCATCATCTTTAAAAAAGCTCCTTAATGCTTTTTAAAGCTCCTTAATGCTATTGTTTGCTCTAGTGAAGTTTAAAAGAGCTTTTTAGAATGGAGAAGTGGTCCCAAATGAGGCATTGAAGGGACAGAAATTTTGTGCTGGCATAATTTTTTTTCTTTCGTTTAATTTGATTAAGTTGAATTGGCCAAGTTGTAGATAGAATCAAATGACTAAATTATAAATAAAATAAAATTAAAGCAAATCATAAGATAATTTAAATTATTTAATTTAGATATAATTTAAACTAATTTCTTAAATCTTATTAAATAAATTTCTAGCGTATTATCTAAAGAAAAATAAGAAAAGATAAATTTTTATAATATAAAATTCGACACTAGTTTAGAGAGTTTTTTTCTATAATATTGGATTTAATAAAGTGCCAAAATAGTCATCGATTATTTATGTATGGTTTATTTTAGTCCCACGATTTATAGAATTATCAAAATAGTCTTGAGACCATTTAAATTGAGGTTGAAATAGTCCTTGTGGAGGAATATTAGATTTCAATCTTAAAATAATCGAGTATTATCTCAGTAATCCTATAAATTATGAGACTAAAATGAGTTCATATAAATAACGAAGAACTATTTGGACATTTTACTCATATTGGATTAATAGGTGCTTGTTCCTAATAAGTGTGGTTAGGCTTTCTGAAGAGTAAATAATATTTGATTATTTTTAAATATAATTTTGATTTTTCGTTGAACTAATTTTTATTTTATTTTAAAATCAAGTCGTCAACAACAACAACAATTTAATTAAGTTTAATTTCCATATAAAAAATCAAAGTCATCCTTTTTAGTTCTATATCAATCAAATGAAATCAATGAAATAAAATTGAATCTTTTTAATTTTTATTTAATCCAACCAACTCTTATAATAACTTAAACATTTTAATGATTTTGGCTTGATAAGTGATAACTACAAGTTAACTTGTTTTTTTTTTTTAATTCTTTTTTCTTATTTTGGGAAATTAGCCCTGTGTTGATGCGTTGTCCGGATAAGAAGTATGTACGTCAATACTAAACACTGGTGAGGTTATTTTCGGAATTTAGTGATTCTTTGCATTGGGCTCTATGCAGGTTGACAAAATGGTTGGCCAATTAGGAGCAGTTATGATAGCAGTCAATCACTGCCAGGGCCCGCATATTGCCACTAGAGGAGTCATCATGGAGCACCAGAGTTATATGTATTTGTTGTCGGACATCAAAAATCTTCAAGTTGACCCAAACCAATTAAAAATAGCTAGTAGAATATTTGCATACTTGCATGTCACTTATGAAAAAATCTTTTTTTATTATTTAAAAAAGTTGTGCTTTTTAGTATAGCACGTAAGCTCACAAAACATAGGTACGCCCATCTCCGTTGTTGTTATTATTATTATTATTATTATTATTATTATTATTATATATATATATCTGTGTGTGTACATACATATACATATGTATCTGTATATATATATATACATATGTGTGTGAGGTGTGTGTGTACTGTGCATTTCATAGTATTGTTCATTGAAAGTGGTCACAAGAACTTTTTATCCATATTCTATGCTTTATTCGTTTTGCTTATGCAGCTTTTTTTCTCAAACATAAACATTGCAGAAAACATTATTTTTACTGATAATATTTTATATGGATTCAACTCATCCAATCATTTTAAGTAACTTTGCACCAAAGTTAATGTGCAAAAAGCTTTTGTTATTGTCAGCATACAATTCTTCTTTGACATAATAAGAGACATGGGTTTCCATCCAAAGTTTATAGTTGGATTGAGGCTTGTACTATTAAAATTTCTTTCTAACTGTTATTCAAGGGCTAGCACTTTCTATGATTCTAGAAATGGATGCCATGTACCCTCTTATCTCTCCACTATTATTACAAATATTTTATCCAAGCTAATGGACAATCAATGCCAAAACCTCTTCAGTTGTATTGAAAATAAGAATCAATGCATCTCTCCGTTCACTTAGGTTGATGATTTACTTAAATTTTGAAAATTTTCTACTAGCCCAATTACTTGCTAGCCTCACAACCTTTGCAATTACCAACATGGGACTCTCCCAATTATTTTTTTGAGTCGCCATCTATTTTCCTTTACCATACTTAAAGGCAGTAGTCCCAATAATTATGCATTTCATTTGGGTTGCTAATTTCTCAAAGTCCTTATCTATGCAGATACTTTGAGATGCAACTTTTCCTGCTCGTTCATATTGCAGCTCGCTATATTTTGCCTTTACAGGACCACCTCAGTTAATATTATATTTTGCAAGATTCACTTTTTCATTAGATCAAAGACTAGCAAATAGTATTTAAAGGAGGTCATTCCAATAAGCATCAGCAACCTCTACTTCACATAAGCTCTCTAATTTTTTTAATGGCTTGGCATGTTTTACGTTCCTGAGACGGTATTCCCACATTTTACATTCTCTCAAGTCATTGCTATTCCTTCAATGCTTAAATTTGTTGTTCATTTATGGGTTTTGGGTGGTTAGTACTACTCTGTATAGTGGCCATCAATTTCTTTTTTTGATGGAGCTGATTCCATAATCTTCCTATGGTTGTCGGTTATGCTTCTAATTTTTTATGAGGTACGATGATATCATGCAGCTATTTCAGGTCTTAATTGGTTTCTTCTTTATACCATCTGTTGTCCCAAAGCCTTCATATGCATTTTAGATAGATATTTGGTCTTCATTGCATGACGCCGTTATGACCATGGATTGCTCATCTTCTGGATCTTTGCCATAATGCCATATGATGTTCAAATTTTAGGAGGGGCTGTTAATAGATATGTGAAGATAATCGCCTCAGTTTTGTAATCCAAAGACACTTCACTCGTTGCTTGGCTATTAAATTCGATTATCTTAGAATCCTTTTCACAAACCAAGGGCAAGGTTTAAAAAGCTAAGCTTTTGCTACATTAATCTGTCGAGCTTAAAATGTGCGTGTTTGTTTAATTTATAATGCCTTCTTAAAATCTGTAGGCTCATTTCATATATATGATCTCAAATACCTATATTTGCCTTTATTTTTTTATCAAGTTTAACCCCTTCAGTTATTAGTGATGCTCTATAATATTTTCTTTTATTTCTTGAAGAAAAATATAACCCCATCTATTATAAGAAAAAAATATTACATCTAGACTTCAATGACATCTTGATGCATGACATATAAATCGGGTTCGGATGCAAGCAGGTACAAAACTACCATGCTTGTATCTGTACAAATAATGTACAAAATGTATAAACAGAATACAAAACTTATTACCCTACTTATACCTGGAACACATTTATATATGTCAAGCATCGTGATATGATTAATATATATATATA